ACCATCTACGTCGTCTGGTCACCCAAGCACCGAACGTGACCTATTCCCGAATATGACTGTTTTGCCGAGTGTCAATTCACATTGCTATTAGACGTGTCTCGGTATTTATACATCCAACATTCAGGTATTTAGTTATGATGTTTCGTTTGTAAGTCTTGTTGGATATTGTGTTATGTCTTATTGTTTGTGGTTTTAATTCTATTTTTTATGTTCTATATGTATGTAAAAGTTAAGATGATTAATCAGCTAGTTCATTTATATAATTTTTAGTTTAAAGCAACTATATTCACAGGATGTATTTGTTTTTACATTGGTACGACCAAAAATCACCTTTAAATTGTAGCCAACAAAAGACACAAATCAATAATAAAATTTAACAAGATTTATTATACACAAGTTTACAAGAAGTATTACACAAAAAGAAATGTCAACTTAACTGTCAAATATAAGTCCGCTCCTTTGTCTTTTCTTTATCTGGAATCCTTCTCGTAACTGTACGGAAATCCAAACAGAATATTACGTCCAATAAAACACAATCTGGTATGATGTTGTTCGTAAATAAAAGTGTCAATCCAACTGAGAGAATTTCTGAGAATATTAATGTCTAATCTGAAAGTTTAACTTTAGTGTCTGTATATATATAGTTGTCATGGAAATCTCAAGAACAGTATAGAAGAGAAACTCATAGAAAACTATAGAACGGAAAATTCTAGAATATTATAGAAGTTTGAATTACACATCGTAGATTATGATCCTTCCAGAATTATTATTTAAGTCAATATAGAAAGTTCTAATCATTCCATCACTATTTATGATTGTTCCAGTGATTTCTAAACTGAAGTTATTTTGTAAATAACTATAAGGCCACACAAAACAAAGTAGGCCAAGATAAATAAATATAATAATTACAATATCATTACAACATAGTTTTGATTTAGAAGAAAAACCGACATGGTTAGAAAATACAAATAATTACACCATTACTAACACAATTCTATATATATACTAATATTCTTGTAATGGTTAGAAAATACATTAAATAACACCATTACAAACTTAATTCAAATTTCGGAAAGCTACGGTATGTTTTACACTGGTAGATAAGCTGAGGTGGCAATAGAGAAACATTCATTGATGTGGCTAGAAGTAGTGTGATTTGACGTTTGTCATCAATACCGATGATTGGAACTTGTTGTGAGCTCTGTTGTTCCATTGTTCAGTTGCCGCCTGGTATCAGCTGACACCCGGTCTGGCCCCAGCTAATTACAAGAGAGTCTGGAATGCTGTGATGCTTGACGACTGTGCTGACTTTTTTTATGTACTCTTGCTTGGTGTCATCAAAATCAGCTAGTAGATGTTAATACCCTTGGTACCCTTGCGCTAAACGAAGCCCATGCGGCGGATAACGGAAATAACGTAGGTCTTTGTGATGTTGATATGTCCACCATACTTTTGCAGCTTGTGTCTGGCGAACTTTGTGACAATGGCCTCAGCTGTTGCCATAACGATGCGTGAGTTGATGACTCCACCATTCTTACGAACGTTGAGGATCCATTGTTGTACGTCAAAACATTTTCGGTGAATTTCTATCTTTTGTTTAATTATTCTTTACGAATCTGAAACATTTTTTTTTTTTTAAACAGCGAACCACGTGTATCACCTGTTTGTCCTACATTTATTAGTTTTTCGCATTTTGTACAGTTAATTGCATATACTACGCCCACGGTTTTACAGTTTATTTGTCCCTGAATGGTATATTCTTTTCCGGTGTTATCACAAAATACCTTGGTCTCATTTATGTGTGAGCATAATGCACATGTTTTCCTGCATGGTCCACAGCGATTAGTTTGTTTATAAAATAATAAATTGTGCTTCTTGTGCAGTAAGATGTCTTTTAAGTTGTTTTCGCGTTTGACTGCTACTATAGGCGGATCGGGGAATATTTTTTTTAGTCTGTTAGATTGATGGAGAATTTTAAATTATTTTCCTAGAGTTGAATGTATATTTGGAAGCTCTTTGGAATACGTGATTACCAAAGGTACTCTGTTGTTTTCTTTTTTTGGTTTGTACTGTAATAGATCGTCTCGGTTTAAAATGTCGACTTTTTAATTGATCTTCAGTTTATGAATTGTTATATTCCCGTTTTTTAGGTGCGTTTTTATTTCTTCTCTTCTTATTTGGTAATTTTCTTCTGTTGATCAAATTCTTTTTACACGAATACCGAGTTCATAAGGTATGGCATTTTTGACAGAATTTGGATGGCTTGACGAAGCATGTAGGTACTGGTGTTTATCTATTGATTTTCTATAAAGATCTGTTTTTAGTTCTCCGTTTTCTATTTTTACAAATACATCAAGAAATTAATTTTTTTCAGTTGAGTAACGCATTTCTGTTTGAATTCGCGGAAGTATACTATTTGCCAATTCGTGAATTTTTTTTTTAATTCATCTAAACCGTGTTCTCATATTCCCCATATGTCATCAACATATCTCCAATATGAATATGGCTGTAAATGACTGTTTTGAAATAAATTTTCTTCCCATTGTCCGAGGTAGGTACAAGCATAATTCATGCCTAGATGGGAACCAATAGCTGTTCCTTCGGTCTGTAGAAAGTGATTTCCGTTAAAGCTAAAATTATTATTTTCAATGACTAGGTCAATCATTTTAAGAACATCGTCACTTGGGATTGATATACCAGATCGATTTTCTAATGCTGTTTAACATGCTTCTCGTGCTTCTTTTCGTGGTACACTTGGATACAATTTAGTTACATCTAAACAAGACATTATTGCGTTCTCTGGTAATGGCTGTTGAATTCCATTTAACTTGTTTAGAAAATCTGTTTTGTCTTTAATATAGATGGGTAAGTTTCGAACATTTTCCGAAAGCTTATTTTCCACTATTTCCGCGATCTTTTCTGTCGGATGGTTCCGTCCATTGGTAAATGTTCTTACAGGATGATTTTTTTTTTTTGTGCAATTTTGGATTTGCATGTACTTTTCCAGGACATGTTTCTTTTTTGGTGTGGACCATGCTGGAAAAATTGTGCATTATGCTCACACATTAATGAGACCAAGACATTTTGTATTAACACCGGAAAAGAATATACCATTCAGGGACAAATAAACTGTAAAACAGTGGGCGTAGTATATGCAATTAACTGTACAAAATGTGAAAAACTTATATATGTTGGACAAACAGGTGATACACTATATCAACTGATGTTATTAAACTTTTCAAAAATTAGAACACACAAAACAGACGATCCAGTAGCAAACCACTTCATTCAACATAATCGTTCGATGAAAAATTTAAAAGTCACCGCAATAGAAAGGATTTATGGAACAAAAATTTACAGAAAAACTAAAGAAGCCTTTTGGATAAAAAAATTAAAAACTTTAGAGCCTGATCGACTCCACACAATGTATGCACGATAGTGAAAATATTCATAGAGAAAAAACACGGCAAATGAACGTCATAGTAGTAATTATAACGTAATGTATCCAAGCGAATTGTTGTTTCATTGTTGTTACTTATTCCAATGAAGAAGGCCATAATGGCCGAAACGTATGGAAAATTGTGTTATAGTTTTAATTATATATATATATGTATTTGATGTCACGTGTCGTTTGGGTTTCTGTCTTGTAAGATAAGCCATAACTAAAATTTCTATTTATATGACAAGGAATTTTCAGGTGGAATACCTATTCTTACTTCAGTGCAGCTCAACTGTGAAGCTTGTTATAGTGATACAATTTTTATATTTAAATATACCTGTGTACATTGTTTTATTTAACACCAATTTGACCTAGTTAAGAGTTGCTTTTTTGACACTCTTCCTACATCTTTTTTATTACTACCTGTAACGTCTATGTTATTTAGGCACATACGTTTCAATATTGTGTTTATATAGTGTCATGGATTAAATTTATTCGTTTCAGTGTATGTTTGTTTTTATTTAAATGTCTTTTTGATCAAGTTAAGTCATTTAAATTGATATTGTATGGTGTGTCTTTTTATGTTTTAATGTTACACTATTTTTTCAGTTTAGGGTGAAGGTTGGCGCTGTTAAAACTTTTAAACCCGCTGCATTTTTTATGCACTTGTCTTAAGTCAGGAGCCTGTTGTTCAGTGGTTGTGGTTTGTTGGTGTGGTTCTTATGTGCTTCTGGTATTTTTACATAGATAAGACCGTTGGTTTTCCTGTTTGAATTGTTTTACACTAGTCATTCTTGGGACCTTTATAGCTTGCTGTTCGGTGTTGGCCAAAGCTCCGTGTGAAAGGCCGGACTTTGACCTATAATTGTTAACCTTTTTTATTGACAGTTGTCTCATTGGCACTCATACCACATCTTCTTATTTATATAGTTCAAATAGCAACACCATTACTTTGGAACTGACATGATTTATAACAAACCTTTTCTAGAATTGTCCATTTATAAATTTTAAAATTATTTAGAAACTAAGGTTTCTACTCCCTAAGGCAAAATTGACCTTAGATGAATTTTGCTTTTTGTAGGTCCTTTTTGGTCGTATAGCTCTTCAACTGTTTCGGTCCTATATATCCTTAGCTTTCAAATATTTGGCATGCAGCCTTCCTGATGAAGGTAGATCTAGAAAAGCGTTTAGGCCGCATAAAATTTAGAACGTGTTGTTTTCATCTTTTAAATTAAATAAAACTAAATAAACATTTAGCAAGCGCTTTATTTGTTATATCTGTAGGACCGATCTAGGCCAAAACAAAATAAAATTGATGTTAATCTAAAACAAACAATCCGTTTATTCAAAATGGCATAATCATTTAAAACTTTCTTTGTGTAACCGTGAAAAATAAAGGGTGTCTGAAAAAAATGTTCCATTATAAATCAGAATTTGGAATCAACTATTACGGCAAATATTAATTCATGCAGTTTTAAAGTTTTAAAATTTGTATACAAAATACGTTTTTAATTTTTGTTTTGGTGGTTAATACAGATTTTTTTTATCACTTAGAGTTAGATTGCATAACAGTTTTGAAGAAAAGTACAGACCAACTGATGGAAAAATATCAAACATCAGGAATCGATTGTCGGAGCTCTTCAGTAAATGAATGTTTCGTTGAATTGTTAGATGAAATTTTAGGTAGATCAATGATGAAATCATTCAGCGAACAAAATCAATATGAATATTATGAATTTGAGAAAGAATTTGAAGGCATCAAACATAGAATTAGCGGAGAAACAACCGGTAAAGCCACTTTGAAATTTCCAATTTCCCTGGATGAGTTTTTAGTAGGAAGTAAAGAACGTAATTTCAGCTCCTTAGTTGATTCTTCAAAATATAGCAGCAACATATCTGTAGTTCGAGATAAACTGCGCATTAACTATGACATATTACGAAATTTATTCAACCCAACTATTGAAAAAATCATATCTGTTATAAGGAAAGTTTTAACAGATTATAAACAGGAACATAATGTCACGGATATCGTCATGGTAGGTGAATTAGCAGACTGCCCTTTACTTCAAGATGATGTGAGAAAATGTTTTCCTGAAAAACGCATCATCATTCCGGACGATGTCGAAATGGCAGTTATAAAAGGAGCAGTGATATGTGGACATCAGCCTTGTCAATACATAAGAATGTCGCAATCTGAGGTAAGAATAGCATTTTGTTTGTGTGTAAGTGTTTGGTGTTCTTTTAAAGCAATCATCGCTCATATGAAGAAAAAAAACATAATACAAATTATCGACCTACATATATATTTATTAGACACAGTTCAAGACAAATAAATTGAAATATGGTTTGCTCAGTCTTTAGTTTTCTATGTTGTGTTATAATACTGTTGTTTTTCTTTCATGTGTCTTTTGGTCGTTTTTTTTTTTTGCCAAGATATTGTCAGTTTTTTTCGACTTATGATTTTGAATATCCCTTTGGTATTTTCGCCTCTCTTTTAGATAATCACTCACAAACTGCCTGTCTTGGTTGATGTTTAATTTTTATTTAACACATTACCGTTCCCATTTTAATCTTGGTCACGGAAAAAATAAAAGTCACAAGAAAACTTCCTTTATTAGCGTTCATAAAGTGCTTACCTGTAACATCATCGTCATTAAAGTATACGTTAAAAGGAATTGACTGATTGGATTGACTGTTTTAATCATGAGACTATTCAGTTTGTAATACATTACGTTGTTTGTTTTGACCCTGCCACGAAAACATGTTCTAAACTGTTGGCGTTGACAGCTTCGTCAGAGGCGTCAACTTTAGGTTCAGTCAGTGGATATTTTTTGACTTCAATAACTCTGTCAAACCTTAATGGAATCTTGTGAAAGAAGTAAGATCAAAACGGGTCAAGACTAGCTCTAAGATTTTGATGTTATTTTAAATCTTGCCAAAATACAACAAATTTCTAATAGAATAGTTTTGATATAACTGCTAATACAAAATAACTTCTCTTATGCACCTCACAGTATGAATGACGAAGGAAATGACCCATCAAGTGTGCGTTATTTGTTTTGTACCGTAATTTTTGTAAATTTTTCAGTTTTTAACATTATTTACTTTAGCCGCCTTTCCCAATGCAGAGTGTTTATGTGTCTAGAGATCCAATATCATCATTGGTAATTTTTGGTAACAATACATTTTCGATTCTAGGTTGCGGCAATGGCTTTCCTCAAGCTTTTAGATCCAAAAAACACCTTCTGAGTTGATAAATTTTCAGAGTTTGTCATTTCTTTTTCCTGTACCGGTAATATTTACATATCGCTCATTGGGGGGAAATTCAAATAAAAAATGATATCGTTATCTAATTGCATAATATTGGTAATAAAAGTAAGTTGACGTAGTTCAATTGGGATTTCTTCCTATAATTAACATCATCAACATGTTTGTTTCTTTCAAATGTTACAATCTGTTCTTTTTAAGTAAAATTTAAATAGTTTGATTGAACCAGATGTTTAGACTTGGTTGAATAACAATGTGTTGTTTTGTTTTTTAAAACTTTCACCAAGAACCAAATTTTGTTTATAATCTTGAAAATATTGAGCATGCACTACACACATGTAGCAATGTCACACCCCTGTATTCTTACTTAATTCAAGTTTATTTTAATTCAAGTTTAATCCACCATTTTCTACATAAGAAATCGCCTGTACCAAGTCAGGAATATGACAGCTGTTACCCATTCGTTTGATGTGTTTGAGCTTTTGATTTTGCCATTTGATTAGGGACTTTCCATTTTGAATTTTCCTCGGAGTTCGGTATTTTTGATATTTTACTTTTTTTTTTATAGATATTGAATGGCTGCGTTTGCACTTTTTTATAAAAGGACAGACGATTCTTAAAACCTGAAAATTCATATCAAACGTATAAAGTTGTATGATTTTTAAATGCTTTTTAATTAATTTTATGAAATTAATCAATAAGAAATACATCCTATGACTAATATAGTGTCCTACTTAAAAGAGGTTTATACACAAAAAAGTAAGTATGGCCTTATTAGCTGTTTGTTAACATTTCTTATCGAATCCAGACTTTCTGCAATAAATGTTACCTTTTTTCAAACTTTACTGAGCCAGTATGCTAAGAAAAAAAATGATATATTCAATTGGGAAATATTTTTTTACAGTTCATTACTTTATATAAAAGTTTTGAAGTTAAACAATAGATAGACAGAAACTTTAAAAACAAACATTATCAGCGCGACCCGATCTACAAATAAGTTAAGATGGTCGAAATATTGAGTGTACTCCTTATTGGAGTTATTGCCCTTTAAAGTTCGAACAATAATAGATTATTCATACATGTTCATCTTTGCAGTCAATTTTCAGACTAATCCCCTGTGGTATATTCAGAACTGTTTAGACAGTTTGCTTGCAGTCAATTCAGTACTGTATAGTTGTATTTCATACAATTCAGTATGATGTTGATGTGTACAGGTCAATTACAGCTACAGAACGGTCTGGACATAGATTGAACATATCTTAATTGACTGCAGGCGATATATCTAAACAGTACTGAATTAAACGCAGTTGAAAAGTCCGAAAATTTACTGAAAAACGAAAAATTATTATTTTTTGTTTAGTCAGTCTTCTAAGGGCTGTTCTGATCAAAATGACCGTTCCAGAACAAATTTGTTTTTTTCTAGTGTTTAAAAGGGGCATTGAATGTAACGTCCCCATTCTGAGAGTATGTGGCTGCGTAATTGTACATCTCACACAGCCAAACGTACGCCCCACTTTTACAAGAGTTTTAGAGCTAGTCGAAAGAAGACCATATAGTTCTATGCCATAGTCACCCTTCGGTTTTGCGATTAAGAAAACAAATGTATATCAATATGGCATATTTTTTACCAAATGAGTCATTCAGGCTCTGTTTACAATAGATTGTTAATTCAAATGATAGTTTGCTGACATAATATTTCAGGTTATGTCAGAATGAAGAGGCACCAGTAGTGTACCCCGTAGGTCTCAAGATCATGTTTAACATTTCATTGGGTCACATGATCACTATAAGGCAAACAAACAAAAATAGCTTAAACGGTTTTTAACATGTCAAAGGGCAGCTGTTTTTGTCATGAGACGTCAGTCGCGAGGTCACACTAATTGTATTGCGAAAAAAACAATATTTAAATTTGATATTGTTTGATTTCGTCTCCGAAATATGGGATTAGACATTTTGTTTACTTGACACTCTTACTAGAGAGGCTTGAGTTTTCTGATTAACACCATAATTGTCAGACTGGTCTAACAGTTTCATATATTTCAAGAAGTCTGTATTCACCAAACATGTATACATGTATTTAAAGATTATAACTATGTTCTTAAATTTTGATTTGATCTATTTGTGTGATTATTTTCCTTTTTAAGGGATTCGACTGAGAACAGATTTTTTTTCAGCCAAGTAGAAAGAGAACATCATGATGTAATAAGTCATAACTTGCATAAGCAAACATCGTTGACGTTTCCTAGAAAATACCTATAAATAGATCATCTTTGTTTTTTCGATCAGATTTCATTTTTTTACTTTTAAGTAAAGGCAACAGTAGTATACTGCTGTTCAATAGACATAAATCGAAAACAAATCCGGGTTACAATCTAAAACCGATGGAAACACATCAACTATGAGAGGAAAACTACGGAACAACAGCAACATTGAACTGCAACAAAAACAAACGCCTACATACACAGAAACGGACTACTTGGTAACAACTGCCATATTCCTGACTTGGTACAGGACATTTAAAAAACAAAATTGTGGGTTGAACCTGGTGTTATTGGTAACCAAACCTCCGACATACATTACAATGTTAAAAATACCGCTAAAATGACAACTCTATATATCTGAAGTACAGTACAAACAAGCGCAAGAACACTCAGTATAGAGAAATACATAAATAAATAATATAATAGTATATTACAACATGTAAACCGCAGAATATCACCAGACTCTTGTGTGAGGTATACCGTGCATTTTAAAATTTAATTATTGAAAGTGGATGAATATTATTGTCAGTACGTGGGGAAGGGGGTTGAAATGGTAGAATTTATAAAAACAGAATTATGTACATAGTGTCAATAGAAAAACAACCCCTGGCACCTTTATTTGATATCAATGGATATTTTTGGTAGTTTACCTTAAATCGAAGGTTTTGAAGACTCATTATGATGTGCATATAGAACATTTGAAATGTCTGTACTAAGTCAGGAATATGACAGTTGTTATCCATTTGTTTGATGTGTTTGAGCGTTTGATTTTGTCATTTGATAAAGGACTTTCCGTTTTGAATTTTCTTTGGAGTTCGGGTTAGACTCGTCCAAAGGCTCATTTGCTTAGGGACTTTCCATTTGGAATTTTCCTCGGAGTTCGGTATTTTTTTTAAACAATTTTTTTTTTTAAATTTTCAGAGCTTTTTGATTTTAATGCCGTCAATGTTTAAAAGTTCCCCTATAGAGAACCCCAAATCAGGGTTTATCAAAAAGAAATGCAGATTAACAGTTTTCTTTTTCATTTGGTCTAGTGCGATCACATTTAATGAAATGACATTTTGTGAGTTTTGGTTTTCAACCCTTTAGGACAAATCACATATTTCTGAACTGGAAGAAGTTACATGTAACCAGATGTTTCAGAAGGCATAATATTTGTGTATTGCTTTTTTTTTAAATGGAATCCAAGGGGGGCTTTGAAAATGGTGTGTTGAGTTTTAATGTAAGGTACTTAGTATATACACGGTTAATGGATAGTACATGCATAACATGCATAAATAGAGTTAATTTTTATGAATAATTTATCAGTCCAGTTGCTCACACAATATATACATAAAAGTTTTGTAAATCATTGCAGATTAGATTGCTGTTATCTTTTTTGCTTGATTGGTAAGGCGATATTTGATGATTATTTTAAGAAATATATACATTTTGTAAATATTGCCGGTATTTTTAACGACCATTCTGTTAAAGAACAAATTCCGGGATATTTTGATAATACTGAGCTCCCTCTTATTTGTTATATTTACAAGAAATCTACCCGGAAATTTGTGTTTAATTATAGTCAATTGTGTAAAGATGTTAATATCAGTGAAAATACACCTACTTCATGTAATTGCAGTAATTCCGAATACATTTATGGACCCATTTCCCATGTTATAACAGGAGAT